TTCTCTTTCAATTTGCTGGGGCAGCTGCTGAAGGAGTCACAGGATCAGCACACACTGCCTGCCTTGAGGAGGCTGAGACAGAGAAACAAATGTGATTGATGTGTGCTGCACAGGAATCCTCTGGAAACAGCCCGTCTTATAACTGCAGCAAAATGCACAATGGGGCTACAGCTCAGCGGCAGAGCATCTGTTTTGCATGTAAACGGTGCCAGGTTAAATCTCTGATACCTCAAGGGTAGGGCTGGGAATGTCACCAATCTGAAATCCTGGAGAGCTGCTGCCAATCTGTGTAGGCAATACTGAACAAGATGGGCCAGTGGCCTGATTTGGTATAGGGCAGCTTCCTGTGTTACCATTAGTGTAGAGAAACTGAAAGTGAAGCTACAGAAAGCCCTGGGGAAATCTGCGCTGCAGGCTTAAACTGATTGAATGCATTTCCCACTTTGGAAACCCCACTCCTGAATTTTAGGGACTCTATTATTGTGCAGGGGGCAAATTCTCAGCGTCTTCCCCTAATTACAGTTCCCATCTCAGATTCTTTGGGAGAAACTATGACAAACTGATTAAAACAATGTAGATATGCCCAATACATTGTCCTGCACTTTACTTAAGTGAGTTTTTTTTAAAATTATTATTAATATTATTACTCATACCCCGCCCATCTGGCTGGGTTTCCCCAGCCACTCTGGGTAGCTTACAGCACATATAAAAACATAGTAAAACGTCAAACATTACAAACTTCCTGATACCGGGCTGCTTTCAGATATCTTCTAAAAGTTGTGTAGTTCTTCATTTCCTTGACATCTGATGGGAGGGCATTGCACAGGGAGGGTGCCACTTCTGAGAAGGCCCTCTGTCTGGTTCCCTGTAACTTCACTTCTCATGGTGAGGGTACTGCCAGAAGACCCTTGCAGGAGAACCTCAGTGTCTGGGCTGAGCAATGGAGACACTCCAGATGTACTGGACCAAGACTGTTTAGAGCTTTAAAAGTCAGCACCAACACTTTGAATTGTGCTCAGAAACATACTGGGAGCCAGTGAAGATCCTTTAGGACCGGTGTTACATGGTCCCGGCAGCTGCTTCCAGTCACCAGCCCAGCTGCCTTATTCTGTATTAGTTGTAGTTTTCAAGTCACCTTCAAAGGTAGCCAGCCCCATGTAGAGCACATTGCTGTAGTCCAAGCGGGAGATAGCAAGAGCATGTACCACCCCAGTGAGACAGTCTGCAGGCAGGTAGGGTCCCAGCTGGCATACCAGATGGAGCTAGTAGACAGCTGCCCTAGACGCAGAATTGATATGTACCCCCATGGAGAGCTGTGAGTTCAAAATAACTCCCAGGCTTCACACCTGGTCCTTCAGGGGTACACTTAACCCATTCAGTACCAGGGAGTCCCCCCACCCCCACCCACCCCCTGTCCCCCCTAAACAGTATTTCTGTCTTGTCAGGATTCAGCCTCAATCCATTAGGCGTCATCAAACCGCCTCTAGACACTCACACAGGACATTCACTGCCTTCACTGTTTCTGATTTAAACAAGAGATAGAACTGGGTATCATCTTCATACTGGTGAACACCCAGCTCAAACCCTCAGATACTCTCTCCCAGCAGCTTCATACAGATGTTGAAAAGCATGGGGGAGAGGACAGAGGCCTGAGGCACCCCACAAGTGAGAGCCCAGGGGTCTGAACACTCATTCCCCAACACCACTTTCTGGACATGGCCTAGGAGGAAGGAGCAGAACCACTGAGTAACAGTGCCTCCAGCTCCCAACTCCCCTAGACGGTCCATAATGATACCATAGTCAGTGGTATCAAAAGCTGCTGAGAGATCCAGCAGAACTAGGAAACAGCTTTCACCTCTGTCCCTAGCCTGCCAGAGATCATTGACCAGCACGACCAGGGCAGTTTCAGTCCCATGATGAGGCCTGAATCCCAATTGGAAGGGATCCAAATGGTCCGTATCCTCCAGGCGTGCCTGGAGCTGTTCAGTGACCACATGCTCAATCACCCTGCCCAAGAATGGAAGATTTGAGACTGGGCTATAGTTGGCCATAGTGGCCAGGTCCAAAGATGATTTTTTTAAAAAGTGGTTTAATAACCGCTTCTTTAAGCGGGTCTGGGAAGACTCCCTCACGGAAGCATTCATCAGCCTGTGGAGCCCATCACCCAGCCAGCCTGGTTCACTTTTGTGAGCTCGAATGGGCAAGGATCAAGGAGACAGGTGGTCGGTTTCACTTGTCCAAGCAGCTTGAACACATCCTCAGAGGTAACAGATTGAAACTGATCCCATGCAACTTGACTAGACAGGACTCTAGCACTCTCCTGCCCCAGTCTTGCTCCTATGGTGGAGTCTACCTCTTTCTAAATCTGCACAACTTTATTTGCAAAATTATTGCAGGAGATTTTGGTGTCCTCACCAGGCCCCAATTGTGAAGGTGGTTCTGTTAAATTACGAACTATCTGAAAGATTCTCCTGCTACTGTTTTCTGCAGATGCAATAGAGGTGGCAAAGAAGGTCCTCTTCGCTGTTGCTATCGCCACTTGGTAGGTTCGATGTTGAGTTCTAACCCGTGTTCGGTCCGATTCAGAATGAATTTTCTGTCGCCGGAAAACCATGGCTTGTTTGATGGTCTGAATCCTGTATAGCAGCTTAACTATAGTTTGTTTACTGCCAACAACCTGTGTTCTGAAACCATGATTCTAGATTCAGGTAGGTAGCCGTGTTAGTCTGATGCAGTCAAAATAAAAAAAATAAATTGTCCAGTGGCACCTTATAGACCAACTAAGTTTGTTCTGGTATAAGCTTTCGTGTATCTGAAAAAGTGTGCATGCACACAAAAGCTTTTACCAGAACAAACTTAGCTGGTCTATATTAAGGTGCTACTGAACAATTTTTTATTTATTTTTATTTTTATTCTGAAACCATGGTTTGTTGTGGATTGTGAACCTTGGTTTGTTTTAACTTTGACATCATATTAAGTGTGAATCCAGCATGATTCCTTAATGATAGCTAATTAAACCACAAAAGCAAATTGCAAGATCAGCTGGAAAACAAACCAAGCTTTCAAAATCTTTCTTTAACATTGCCAACATTTTTCCAGCCTTTTGTCAAATTTCCTCTGACAGTCAGGAATCCAGCAGGCAAACTTATCATTTCATCTCCATGCTGGGAAAAGAAAACGTGCTGCTGGATTTCCATCCTTACTTTAATTGTGTTAAAGGAACATCAGAAAAGGAAGCAACATTCTAATTTCCTTCTCCTTGGGCCTATGGGCTTTATCAGTTTTCCTCTTATTTAATTAAAGAATTTTTATCCCACTCTTCAGTCCCCAAAGCCTACCAGAGCAGTTTGCAGATTACTAAAAATAAAACAGTCCCAGATGTGAAGTTTACAATATAAAAAGAACACAACACAGAAGGAAAATGAATTGGGAGGGAGGAAAAATAGACCAACTCAGGTACCAGTTCTTTGTTACAAATTCTTAAAATACCCAGCTGGGGTGGAGAAGGTCAAGAAAAGGAGGAGCCAAAACCTACTGATCTCTCAGCCATGTTGATGGAGTGGTGTTTCAATCCTTTTCTTCCCTCCTCTGTTATAGCCTGGTGAAATGGCTGCTGCCATATTACAGTTGATGGAGGGAAGATCCTGGCTTTGCAGCAGAGCTGGTGACTGCTCTCTATTCCCTCCCTGTTCTGCTGCAGTTTGATGACACTGCTGTCTCTTCCGTTTGGGGCTCTTATAGTTGGGCACACAGAACCATCCTCCCGCATCCAGGTGTAGCTATTTTTTCCTGCAGTCACTTTTGAGTCGTCATCAAGGACTGTGTAGAGCAAAACAGCACACTTAAGTTTTTATATATACTCTGTTACAAAGTGATTCCTCTATCACATGGGAAACAGGGCATGTAAGTGTTGGGCTAAATAAATCATAATTTAATGCACCTTAAGAGGTTCTGCTTCAAGTTGTACTTTCTTTAGAGTGCTGCCTTTGGAAGTTTTGTGATCCTTTTAAAATTTAAAGCTTGATGAGAATAAATGTTTAAAATGCTGGTGGCTTCAAATGTCAGAATTGGGGCTGTACATTTAATTAGACAGAGATTAAATAATCTTCATCGTATTGAGGGGGAACACCATACATTGTTGGAGTCCATAGAAAACACCAGTGCCTAAGGTCCCTGGGCCATCTTCAAGTAGGATTGGGAAAAATTCCAGACAGCTGCTGCCAAGCAGTGTAGGCAATACTGAGCTAGAATGTTTTGACTCTGTGTAAGGCTGCTTTGTATATTCCTATGGCATAGGTCATGATTTGTTTGGTCATCTGTGGGGCAACTCATGGTTAAATCATGGTTTGTTCTTGGCTTCAGCTTAGCGTTATGTTCAAATCATGCCCTTGAATTCAAGACTGTTACACCCCACCCCAATCTGCATGAGTGGTGCGAGATTCCAGGGGTTGCTGGTGCACTTATCACAGTGTGTGTTTCCTTTGGGGACAATGAGATAGCAGTCTGTGGTGTCTTTATGATATATGGTTTATTTACACATATTTACTACTGGTGTCCAGATGGAGAGAGTGCATCCCAAGAGGGTCCTGTTCCCATCATTGCTGCAGCCTCAGATTCCAAGGGACACCAAACATGTCTGACCTCCAGCTTGCAAAATAGACACTTTTTCCTTTTTGCTTACCTCATTGCTCACAGCAATTCTGGAAACTTTCCCCTCGCAATTCTGGGATTGTTTTTTGCTAATTACCCACAGCTCAAGGCGGAGTCTCCCAACTCTGTGTCCGGCAGAGAGTCTTCTGCCTTGTTGATGACTTTCTTGATGGGTTAATGGCTCAGCATTTGTTTCATAATGGCCCATCCCCAGGCGATTCCTTAGTCAGGAAAACAAGTCCATCTTGTATTTTTGTACTGCTAAACCCATTGATTAAACTCCAAACTTACTAAAGCTAGGAATTATGAGGTTTCTTAAATTCTAATTCCTTTACTGAATTCAGAGCTTTTAGGGGAACCTTGCCCCGCTCAAACTTGTAACAGTACTATAGTACAGGCATGTAAAAACCCACCTTTCTACTGGCTTGTAGCAAGTTTTAATCAACATAGGAAATCCAGAAGCTTAATTTGGGCTAATTTGGGCTATGAAAAAAGAGTTTGTTGATTGGGAGTTTACTTGCAAGTCTGTTGTAGAATGGAGTGAGCTGCTTTTGTGTTCTGTAATAGACCCAGTGGTGAAAGTCATTCCCTGGTCCTCTTCATTCAGGAATTTTCTCCTGGTGCCCCTGAAGCAGTTAAGATGTTTGGGTTCCTTTTCCTGCTGCCTTTTCACTTGCTGTTTTTCTTAAACTGGGCTTTCCTTTCTTGCTCTGGCTAATGTCACGAGTTCATGGAGGGCTTATATGCAGAACATACATATTTCTACCAGGAAAGGGAACAGGTGCTGCTGGAGTCTTTTACCCACACATGAAGTATTGCAGAGTACATCTGTCATCGCATGAATGTCAGCAGGAGACACTCACATCTGTTTCCCTGTAGCATTTGTTATCAAGAAGGAAGGGATTGTGGGGAGGAAGGGAGGGTGGGGAGAGAAATAAGAGCTCAGCATGTCACTTAAGCAAAGCAGTGGCACTTTGCCATCAGAGTGTTTGTTCAGGACTTCAGGTGGTCTTCTGTCCCCAACGTTTTCCACTTATTGAATGCAGGCATCATTTCTTGGCCCTTGGGGTGCGTATGTGAAATGTGGGTGGGTGGGAAATGGGTTGTCATGTGTCACAGCACTGTAATTTCTCCACCCTCCTCTTCTCTTTGGCATGCTGTAGTGCTGCCGAACAGCAGTTCCTGCTTGTTTTGGCAATGAGGAGAGCATCTGCTTCAAGAAAGGCACATGGAAAAACTTCCACTTTGGCTCTGTCGGCTGACTCACAGTTCTGAACTTGCAACTCTCCCAAGTACCTTTCATGCAAGGAAGTGAGTGAAAGATGAAGGGCATGGGGGATAGTGGGAAACATCATAGAAGGGCCAAGCAGAGGCAAGGTGCTGTGTAACACTAGACTTGGGAAACCAGTGAAGCCCCCGCCAGTTTTTCCAGCCCCCAACTCATATCCAGAAACCCCAGGACAGTTTCTATATAAAACTATTTTTTCTTTGTGTTTACTAGCTGGATTGTTGGAGATGCTAGTTTTTATTTAGGAGACAGCCGAGGCTCTTTTGGAGTGCATTTTCGGCTAATTGGGCAAGTCTATTCTCCTCTTTTGGCTGATGTTCTTTTGATGGTTCTTGTCTCTTGTAATCATGTAAAAAGGCCTTTTGGTTCCACACAAACCAGACAGTGCCTCTAAAAAGGTTGCTCCCAAGTCCTTTTTCTGTCTGGAAGAGGGCAAAAGACTGGATAATGCTGTATTGACTGATTCATGAAGACCAATAAGTCTCCCACTTCTTTTGCAAGTTTGCCTCTTTTTAATTTTTTTTGTCTGTTCTTTGTTAACACTTAAAAATTCCAAGCACACCTCAAGGGTTCGGGTTGGGAGTAAAAGTAGGGCAATTGCTTGATAGAAATTTTCTTTTCTTTTAAAAGGCCAGTACGCCTCAACAAATCCTGAGTCAAAACCTGCTTTTTGTAAAGATTAATCTCCTTTCCTAGTACAATGGGCCATCCTTAGCACAAAAGTTCCTTTTACATAATTTTCCCAGCAAAGAAATGGGGTTGCCCATTTAGACAGGGTGCTCCCCAGGAACCTCTGTGTCAAGGGAAATGGTAAGTGAAAGAGAGAACACATCAGTAGTGGAAACATATTTCAGGCAAATCCATGCCAGCATCATGTTTTTGCAAGGCTGAATTCATATTTTAGATTCCCAAGCAGTGCCATCAAATTTTTAGGGGGGCAGGAGTCTCTGTTTGGGGTGGGAACAGTTAACAAGGAAGGAGATTCTATCTCCATTATCATTCCTAGGCCTAGGGCGCCTCTCCAGATGTTTTTTTAATTGGGTATTCATGACAATTTGTACTCATGATAGTACTGGGGTGGTTATATGCAATCCTGCTTTCAACATGGTTAACACCTGCAACATAACAGCTTCATTTCCAGTCAGTGCATGTCCCTTTGCTTCCTGCTGAAGTCCTGTAACAAAGTTCCAGTTTATGTTGTCCTGCTTTTGTTGCAACAACTTTTGTTGTTGAAGAGCATCCCTTCAAATGGTCATAATGCAGTATATGACTGTTTAAGTTATATAGTACCTTGCTTGAGATAAAGTCCCAGTTGCCAGACCCAGAAAATATTTGTAATCCCAACCTACAACAGCAGACTACATTTGAAAGGTTTTTTTTCTTTTATGTTTTTATTTACCTTCCCTTCTCTCTATGCAGCTTCCTTCTCTCTCTTTCTCTCTTTCCCCCCTCCTCCAAAGATGCTGCTGGTGTGATCCACCAAAGATAAGGTCAGAGGCATCAGTATTTGGAACCTAGAATGCGTCATTGTCTTCCTTTGCATTCGCTGCAGTTAATTCACATGATCAGGTAGTTGTAAAGTTGACGGTGTGCCTGGGGGAGAGGCAGGCAAAGTGAAGATGTGTGCATCTGTTCTTTTCCAGGCCTGATGCCGAGGGACAAGGTGAGTGACAGTCCATGTGAACCTCCATAGCAGAGACCTGGTGTGGCATTTAAAGGCATCTCTGCTCTCGGATGTGATTGATGGCAGCTTGCAGGCCTGAGCGGCTGCAGGAGCAAATACGTCGATGTGGAATAGCTGGGAAAGGGCAGCCATGAAGGTCATGAAGCGCCTAGGAAGCCATTGGGGTGGGGTTGGGGGGAGAGCATCTGGGGATAACAGTGGCAGGTTTGCTGCAGCTGGGTGTTCTTTATGTTCCTGCAGAGCAGCTGGGGCTTTGCTGTTCTTTAGCTGGTGCCTGGAGGGGTGGGTGTCAGGCTTGGCTGGGTTTAGTGGCCTTTTAAAAGACAGAGGAATCCTGGACTGGTGGACATCTGTGTGCAGCACACCATTGTATGGGCAGCATGTAATAAGAATTGAGTGGCAATGTGATAGCATTAAAAGCTTGTTCTTGCCCGGACGGTGTATACAAACAAGCATTCTGTATGGAATTGCATAGTGTAATTGGTTTTCAGCAGCCTTGGCTAACCTGGTTCCTTCTAAATGTTTTGGACTACAACTCCCATCAGTCCCACCCAGCACGTGCCAGCAAGAGCTCATGGGCGTTGTCCAAAGCATCTATAAGGAGCCAGGTTGGCAAAGTTTGTTTAGAGGATGAGCTTGAGATTTTGCTCATGCTCAGTGCCTGGCTTGTTAACATCTTGGGGTTTGAGAAGTAATTCTGCACTCAATTGGCTATTGTGGATGATTTGAGAGCTGCTTTGCCCACACAAATTAAGTTGCTTATCACCTGTTCTAAATGGGAGCTGGTTTCTTTGCAAATACAGTTTTCTGCAGTGCACTTAATTTTCTGCTGGTGCCATATTGTGATCTGGGTTGCATGGGTTGATCTTTTGGATGGCCCTAGGAAGTAGCTGAGCTCAGGTGAACTTTGGCTCTTTTCTGTGGTTTTGTGTTCTGCCAGTCACGTTCCATAAGAACATAAGTAGAGCCCTGGTGGATCAGGCCTATGGCCCATCTAGTCTAGCATTTAGTTCTCACAGTGCCAACCAGATCCCTATGGGAAACCTGCAACCAGGATCTGAGCACAAGAACACTTCCCCTCCTGCAGTTTCCAGCAGCTGATATTCAGAAGCACTACAGCCTCCAACTGTGGAGGCAGAACATAGCTTCCATCGTGTCTAGTACCCATTGAGATCCTTTACCTCCATGAATATCTCAAAATTTTGTATCACTTTGGATCAGTGTTTCAAGGTCAGCAAAGATTCTGAAATGGCTTCTTATTAGCTTCTTTCCCATGCAGAAGTTTTATAAATTAGAATGAACACTTTAGAATAATGGTGCAATATTCCATTCACCATATTAGCATATATACCACTTCACTGCTTTTTTGATAGATGGTAGAGCCATTTAGTCTAAACTTGCCTTCCTTCCATTTCTTTCCTGAATTTTTATGGAGAATCTGGGCAACATTATTGCCAACCTCTTGCATTCTAGTTGTTTCTGTGTTATCCTCTCATGTTTTGTCAGAACTGATTTGAGGTGATTGTTTTTCACTTAACATGTAATTATAGTGTCAGTCTGGCAGTACGGACTGGCAAAGAAACACTGAGGTTTTTATTACTATTGTTTCTATAGTTAGAAGTTTCATCCTTGTAGATTCTGGTGATGAAGTGCCCCTAAAGTAGTGAGGTCCTGTTTCCTGTGTGTGTGCTAATTGCTTGTGTCCTCTCAGGTTATTTCCTTTTGATTTTTTAATTGTGAAATAGTGCTCCTTTGCAGGTATATACTTACCTGCACACCTCTCTTTGTTGATGTGAACACCGTGGCTAATGATGTTTATATTCACAGCTTCCCTACCACACCACTGTGGACTAAGGCAATTGAGGGAGTATCACTGAAGGAGTTCAACAAATTGTTTTTTGACATGATTTTGATGAGCCCTCTCCTTTATGAGAGTAGGCAGACAGGGTGATGTTTTTTACCCTAGGACCTCTATATTCCTGATATTCTTCCAAGACCCAAGTTATTGAGCCAGAGCTTCCACAGCTGCTGTCTGCCATGAACCATCATTGGCAGAATTGGCAGCAGCAGAGACCATCTTGTCTGTCTCTAGAGTTGTAGGAACAGGAAAGGACAGTGAAGAAAGAGCTGTGTGTGGAGGGTGGCCTTTCGCCCATCCTCTGGATCCCCTGGGAAACTCAACAAACCTGCTGTACCTGGAACTGGGTGTGGAGAGTGCAGCTGAATGGAACACAGCTGTGAGCAGCATGAGGAAGTACTTTGAGCAAGTACCACCTTAAGCCTGTCATAAAAAACAAGTCTAAAGAGAAAGACTAGGGTGATGTTTGCTGTTTCCAGGAACTCTTCTCATTATCAGACTTTTGTGGGTGTGCTGGGAGTTTGTTTCGACGCATAAGTAAGGCTGATAGGTAGGGTGTGTCAGAAGGACAATGAATTCATATCGATAGATATATATTAGTAACTTTGTATTAATGTATTGTTTTTATATGTAGCTGTGTATTTTTGCAATATTTTGTTTGTTTTGTCTGTTGTTGCTTCAGTTTTCTGTACACTGCTTAAAGATACTTTTAATATATTAAGTGGTATAGAAATTAAGTCATCATCATCTCTCTGTAGGGATCAGCAACTGGCTAATTAAGGAGCAATTCAGTCATTAAAGCCACACCTTGCTGAATAGGAAGTAGTCATAAGAGAGAAGCTACTTATCAAAGTTACAGGAGATCTTTGCTGAATGGGACTTAATGTCTAAATAGACATTGTAGAAGGACCTTGTCTATGGGACAGGCCATGTCAGATAATACAGAGCCATATTAAATGCCATGTGGCACCACAATTTTAATTCTGCTTGTAGAATTTAGTGTGAAGTTAGGAGAATCCAAATGTTCTTTGATTTTAGCATAGATTGAAAAATATGATCCAAATTAGGGGTGACCATCCTCTTTTTCTGTCAAGGGCCATATTCCATTTGGGGTAATCTGTTGGGGGGGGCTGCAAGGTCATAGTAGGCGGGGCCAAAGTCAAAACTGGGTGAGGCAAGAACAAAGGTGGGTGAGCCCCACTTTTCTCTCTTTTTGTCACCTCTTTCCTCCCTGATCCCCCCTGCCGGCACCCACATGAAGTTGGGTCAAAGGTGTCATCTGACACTAGAGCTTCAAGTTGCCCATTTCAGATCCAAGTGAATGCATGTGATGACTCACCAGGATTTATGGTCAGCGTAATGGTGTCAAGGGGATAGGAACTAGAGGATTTCTAGAGCTGAAGTTCCAGTGTCACAGACACTCTTGATGCCTTGATGCAGCAGCCCTCCTCTTGCAGCAAGTAGTGCATTAAAAAAAGAGTAGTGCATTGATTTTAAAAAAGAGGGGTTGATGCTTGGGATGCAGCTCCTGCCTCTCTGTTGATATTTTGTGGGAAACCAACGTAATTAAAGAATGGGAGAATACAAGGGAAAGCTAAAGGTATGTGTGGGGAGACCCAAGCCTGTCTGTGTGGCTGGATCTCTGCTTGTTGGCAGGGAAGCTAATTGCTGCATTTCACAGCCCAGTAAAGCCCATCTGCTCTGTTCTCTGGCATTGCACGCATGCCCATCAAGCACATTAGACCACCCAGCCTTGCAGATGGATCTGGGGAAGCTGAGCAGCCCAGGCAGAACCCCCTCACCTGCCCTGTCATGCTGTGGTGGATTCCAATGACGAAAAAGAGTTCTGCTTCTCTAGCTCTTGGGTGAAATCTCCAGGATGCATGAAGCACCCCCAGCTACATAACAGGGTTGCAGTATGGTTAGAACTGTACAGTAGTTAGTACTGTACAAAATGATATTGAAATAATAAAGGTTTGGGTGTGGAATATGATAATAACAGCAAGAATAATTTCATCAGTTCTCTGCGCCACCATAGAATCCTGGCAACAGTAATTTACCCCTTGCAGAACTACAGTTCCGTGCAACCTTAAACTAAATGTGCTTTAAATTGATAGTGTGTATGCAAATACAAAATTAGGAGTATTGCAGCTCAATGGAAGATCAAACTGCTTTGTGTACAAAAAGTCCAAGGTCCTCAAATGAGCACAAGAAATGGCAGGGCTGGGAAAATAACCTGCCTCTTAGGGATGCAGTACACAGATGGACCGATGGGCTCACTTCATAGGAAGCTTAGGCATTTTGATGGGATTGTGATGGTAATGCAGAGAACCCATAGAGTCAGGCTATATCTGATTTCAAACCTCCTATCCACCCTTCCCTTAACTGAACATAATTCTCTTTGCTCAAGTTATGTTGAGAAACAGCAGCCCCTGCAAGAACGCAGAGCCATGCAACAAAACAAAGTGAGGCACACTTATTTACATGATAACAATCCTTTCCTATCCTGAACCAGGGGATGAATCTGAAATTAGATGGATTAAAATGCTTGCCAAGATCAGAACTTTTGACCCGGTTTGCTTACTGCTAATGAGTAGTAGTGATTGCATCTCCTGTCTCTTTCCAAAGGTTTGTTTCTCTTGCCATTTTCTCTTGCATCCCCTGTACTCCCCCACCCCTAGCCTTGTCTGTACATATGCAAATGTAATCCAGAGATTGCAAGTAAGAGATGTCACTTTTGAATGCCCCCCCTTTTAAAAAGAGCTCCCTGCACAGGTGGGTTCTTCCTTAGGGCTCTCCACATATCCGTTTGTGCCTGTGCCTAGCGAGCCTGGGTCTGAGCAGTTTTCCACTTGTCTCATGTGTTCTAGGCATGGATTCGAGTGGTTTTGCCTTTGCTGTGCCACTCTCCCCCAGAAAAACATCTCTTTAGCACTAAATCAGAACAAATGGCAATATGCAGAAACCCCAACTGCTGTTTGTTCCCATTCAGCCCTAAACGGTCTATTTTCTTGGGAGAAAGTGGTGGGGTAAACACAAGTGTGGAGAAACCCTTAGTTTACCTACTCTTGTGCTAGTTTTCAGCTTGCAGAGAGGTGGCTTAAAAAAAATAAAATGTAGGTGAGCTGTCAAAATGTGACGTATACTCCATATGTACCAGCTGTCTGAAGTGGTGTAGTCCCTTTGAGCACCTCATTTTGCTGCCTGTGTAAATTAGGTTGCAGGGACCCACCTTTTGCTTACACCAGTGGTTTTCAACCAGTGTGCCATGGCACCCTGGGGTTCCTTTAATGATGGTCAGGGGTGCCGTGGGCAACACTGGCCTCTCTCCCACTTTTCTTCCCTCCCTCCTTGGGTGCCCTCTCACCTCTCTGCCTCCCTAAGGCTTGCATAGCTGTTTGTTGCAGCAGCCCTGGCTCCAAGCTCCCCAGGTGAATGTTGCCTCTGGAGCTGGCCAGGGGGTGCTTCCCAGGCCCCTGTGGGGCATTGTGAGAAGGCACCTCTCTTTGGGGCGGGGGGCGGCGGGGGGCAGCTCAGAGACCGGGGAGAGGAGAGGAGGCTGAGGGAATACTCCACAAGGGAGGGTGTTTGGAAAAGAGTGAGAGGCTGCCAGCTCTGCAGGCAAAGGGTGATATAAATGGGCTCCTGAGCCCCACAGGGGTGCCACAGAAAGAATGTAGTTGGTCATTCGAGCCGTGGACTCAGAAAGGTTGAAAACTTCTGGCTTATGCTATTCTTGTTATATATGCTATTACTAATAATAAAGAAATACAAACAGTAGCAAAGTGTTGTGTCCAACTAAATTTTACCCATAGTAGACCCATTGAAATTCATGAACCTGAGTTAGCCATGCTTATTAAGTTCAGTGCATCTTCTCTGAGTAGGACTGGCATGGGATATGACTTAACGTTTTGGACAAATATATATATATATTTTTTAAACAGTTAAAAACACACATATTTTCTATTACTTATTTTCCTTTAGCTTGTTTCCCGGACCTCCTCGTACCTCCCTTTTTTGTATTCCACTTATTGGTTCAGCAAATCCTTACCATTAGATTTTAACCCATTTATAACCCATTTTTCATATTCTCTTAGAGCATTACAGCTGGAAACCGCTTAATTACTATCCAACATCATTCTATCATTCATTAATTTTACAATATTTCTGTAAATAGTCTTTAAATTTCTTCCAATCTTCTTCCACCGACTCTTCTCCCTGGTCTCGGATTCTGCCAGTCATTTCTGCCAATTCCATATAGTCCATCACCTTCATCTGCCATTCTTCCAAAGTGGGTAGATCTTGTGTCTTCCAATACTTTGCAATGAGTATTCTTTCTGCTGTTGTAGCATACATAAAAAAAGTTCTGTCCTTCTTTGGCACCAATTGGCCGACAATGCCCAGAAGAAAGGCCTCTGGTTTCTTCAAGAAGGTATATTTAAATACCTTTTTCAGTTCATTATATATCATTTCCCAGAAAGCCTTAATCCTTGGGCACGTCCACCAAAGGTGAAAGAATGTACCTTCAGTTTCTTTACATTTCCAGCATTTATTATCGGGCAAATGATAGATTTTTGCAAGCTTGACTGGGGTCATGTACCACCTGTATATCATTTTCATAATATTCTCTCTTAGGGCATTACATGCCGTAAACTTCATACCTGTGGTCCATAACTGTTCCCAGTCAGCAAACATAATATTATGTCCAACAACTTGTGCCCATTTAATCATAGCAGATTTCACCGTTTCATCCTGAGTATTCCATTTCAACAGCAAGTTATACATTCTTGACAAATTCTTAGTTTTGGGTTCTAACAGTTCTGTTTCTAGTTTTGATTTTTCCACCTGGAAGCCAATTTTCTTATCCAAATGATACGCCTCCATTATCTGATAATAATGAAGCCAATCTCTCACTTTGTTTTTTAGTTTCTCGAAACTCTGCAATTTCAATTTGTCTCCTTCTTGTTCCAAAATTTCCCAATATTTCGGCCATTTGGCCTCCATATTGAGCCTTTTCAGAGCTTTCGCTTCCATCGGTGACAACCACCTTGGGGTTTTATTTTCCAATAAATCCTTGTATCTTATCCAAACATTAAACAGTGCTTTCCTGACAATATGATTTTTAAATGCTTTATGTGCTTTGACCTTATCATACCATAAATATGCATGCCATCCAAATACGTTGTTAAAACCTTCTAAATCCAAAATGTCTGTATTTTCAAGAAGTAGCCATTCTTTCAGCCAGCAAAAAGCTGCTGATTCATAATAAAGTTTAAAGTCTGGCAGGGGAAATCCACCTCTTTACTTTGCATCAGTTAATATCTTAAATTTTATTCTGGGCTTCTTGCCCTGCCAGACAAATCTAGAAATATCTCTCTGCCACTTCTTCAAACAGTCCATCTTGTCCACAATTTGCAATGTCTGAAACAAAAACAACATTCTAGGCAATACATTCATTTTTATCACAGCAATACGACCCAACAGTGAAAGCTTCAAATTTGACCAGATTTCTAAATCTTTTTCACTTCCGTCCAACATTTTTCATAATTATCTTTAAATAAGTTCCCATTTTTGGCTGTCATATTAATCCCCAGGTATTTCACTTTCTTAACCACAGTCAGGCCTGTCTCATTCTGAAACCTCTCTCTTTCAATCGGTGTTAAATTTTTCTCTAAAACCTTAGTTTTTAGCTTGTTCAGTTTAAATCCTGCCACTTGACCAAATTCTTGAATTAATTCTAAAACCCTTTTAGTACTAGATTCTGGCTCCTGTAACGTCAATACTAAGTCATCTGCAAATGCTCTCAGTTTGTACTGTTTGGCTCCGACCTGTATACCTTTAACCAACCGGTCCCTTCTAATCATATTCAGCAGAACCTCCAGGACCGATATAAAAAGCAGTGGGGAGATTGGGCACCCCTGTCGTGTCCCTTTTTCTATCTTAAATTCTTCCGTCACCACATTATTTACAATTAATTTAGCCTTTTGTTCAGAGTATATTGCACCTATACCATTTTCAAAACCTTGGCCTACCCCCATCCCCTGTAGGTTCTTCTTCATGAAGCTCCAAGAGATATTGTCAAAAGCTTTCTCCGCATCCACCAATATCAGAACTGCTTTAGTGTTTATATTCTCTTCTAGTTTTTCCAAAATATCAATTATATTCCTCAAATTATCAGACAAGTGTCTTCCCGGGAGAAAGCCCGCTTGGTCTTTATGAATCTCTTCCATCAATACTTTTTTCAATCTCTTGGCCAAAACGTCTGCAAAAATTTTGTAATTCACCGTTTTGGACAAATAGAATTCATGCTTTCCTGCTCTAAGATATCCATTTGTGAGTGTGTGGCCAAATCACACGACTGGAATCTTTGTGTGCAAATAGGGATTCTTATCCCAGGATAGCTGCCCCCTCCCACCTTCCCGGGAGAATCCTGTGGATCTTAGTAATGTAGACCATCTCTGAATCTATCACCAATCCAGGACTCTCAGCCTTTCTCAGCTCTCAGGACGAGGTTACCCCTGTGTGGACTCTTAAGAGCTTGGGACATGAACAGCTGATGCAGGAGCAA